CAGGCAGACATGCAGGCAGAACACTGTATCCATAATAAATAAATCTTAAAAAAAGATATTTCTAAAAAAAATAATAAAAATAAGTCTTTAAAAAACCCGTATCTCTGTTCCTAACTGTAAACTCTCCTTCCCTCACAGAGTGGCATCCATCCTGTGAACATCCCAGCACCCACATATAAACATCCCCCTCTTTTAGTTTTATAAATAGTACCTACTATTTTATTACTTACTCTTTTTTTTAAATTACATTTTAATTTGAATTACCTGTGGATGTGTGTGTACTGGAATCAGTTCTCTCCTTCCACCATGTGGGTCCTTGGGGTAAAACTCAGGTCGTAGGCTTCATGAAAAGCAGCTTCACCCACTAAGCCATCTTACTCCCATTCTCCGCTCACTTTCTCTCAACAGTCTCACTCGGTGGCCCAGGCTGGCCTTGAACTTGTGATCCTTCTTAGTTTTTGTTGTTGTTGTTGTTTCCTTGGTTGGTCTGTTTTTCCCTTCCTTCCTTTCTTCCTTCCTTCCTTCCTTCCTTCCTTCCTTCCTTCCTTCCTTCCTTCCTTTTTGATGACTCCAGTCCCATACCTCAGCTTCTTGAATACAATGCTACCAAGCCAATCAGGCCTGACTTGAAGCTTTTTATTTATTTTATTATCTCATGTGGGGGTGGGGGAGGGGGTGCATATGTGTTGGTCAAAGAATAACTTTGTGGAATTGGTTCTCTCTTTCCACCTTTATGTAGGATCCAGGCTTTGAACTCAGGTCAGGTCACCATGTTTGCATGGCAAGTGCCTCAGGCCCACTGAGCAGTCTCACCCATTTCTGCCAGTTCTTTTTTTGTTTTGTTTTGTTTTTTGTTTTGTTTTGAGACCATCTTGCTAGGTAGCTCAGGTGTGCCTGGAACATACTACCTTCTTGTTCTGTCTCCTGAGTTCTACAGTTACAGGTGTAGCCACCATGCCCAACTCATTTATTATTATTTGTTTTTCTTTTATTTTTGTTTTTGTTTTTGAGACAGGGTTTCTTTGTGTCATATCCCTAACTGTCCTGGAACTAGCTCTGTAGACCAGGCTGGCTTCAAACTTACAGAGGTCCGCCTGCTTCTGTCTCCTGAGTGCTGGGATTAAGGGCGTGCGCCACCACCCACTGCCGGGTTTAGTCTCTCTCTCTCTCTCTCTCTCTCTCTCTCTCTCTCTCT